TTGTGTTGCTTTTCCCACTAACAATTTCTAAAGCAACAACTCCAAAACTATAAACATCTGCTTTCTCGATTAAGTATCCTCGCATTGCATATTCAGGAGCCATATAACCACTAGTAAAAAAACATATAATGTTAATAATCAAGTCAAAAACATAGAATGTGCAAAGAAAATCTAAGAAGAAAAAGCCTATTAATATCATTACTAAACCAAATATGAGAATTATATTGATCCAGTGAAAAAAATGTATTAGAATATATACTGACATTGTTCCTGCTATTCTTGTGCTTATATGAGTATTCTTATCTTCATCAAGTTTGGCTAATCCAAAATCTGAGATCTTGGCATTCAAATATAATCCTTATCAAGCAAGACATTTGTTCCCTTAATATCCCTATGCACAATTTTCAGCCTTGATTCCTCATGAAGATAAGCCAATCCTCTTGCTATTTCTATGCATATCTTCATTCGTGTAGGCCAGTCCAGATGTATCTTTTGTCCTTGGCCACCTAACATTAACATCAATGATATCTTAATTAATGACATATTACTATCAAGTTATTCAATAAAAATTAATTATATATTTGTAGAAGTTGTTCCAAATGAGAAAAGATGTTTGAATTAAAAAAAAAGGCCTAAAATACAACATCTAAACTTTGTCTTCTAAAAAATGAAGATATAACTAAAAGTTGCTGGCAAATAATTTAAGCACGATTTTACATTTTTTGTCATAGTGATGTAATACTGAAACAGACACAGACAATAAGAGAATGCATATCAAAACAATTTTATTCGTTTCTACTCAATCATTTTATCTTTTCCTTATATATAATACTACATATGGTAATTTTTTATTTTGAAGAATTCAAGTTCTTACCAAAAGGAGCACTAGCAAGACTATTATTCTCCATGTACTCATATATCAGCAACAATTGATTTCCTTCAACACAAGTACGCAACATCCATAAAGCTTTACGAGGTTTGGTTGTTGCAAAGCAGAAATCATTCCAATTTCATTGGCAAATTCACGATTCCCTTGCTTTGATTTAGAGGAAAGCTGTTTCACAGCTATGACAACACCATTTGATAGTGTACCCTGAAATTCAGTTTACCTTTTAGTCTCAATTTTCATAATCTTTCTTAAGCAAAATTATTATCTCTTAAAGACATAATCTCTTAATAAGTGTATTCAATTATGTAATATTGGTTAAAGATAAATATGATAAACTAAAAATTACCTTGTACACCGGTCCGAAACCTCCTTCACTAATCTTATTTTCTGGGGCAAAGTTAGTAGTGGCATCTTTGATTTGTTTTAAAGAGAAATAACCTATTTTTAAATCTAAAAGTTCTGCATCAAGAATAAAAGTTATATAAATACAAAGCAAAATACATTGAAATTACAAGAAACTTAGAAATAATTACATTGCAAAATTCATTATTTATCCATTTGACTTGCATGATAGAATTCAGGCATATAAGAAAAAATCATTTTTTCACTATATTATACCAAATTATCAATACATATAGCATCTTTATTATTTTCGATTTTGATCTTACGTTTGGCTTTTGAATCTCTGTCATCTTGTAAGCGCATTTTTCGGAGGACGAATATTATTACTAGTATGATGAGGAACACACATGATCCAACCACAATTCCAGCAATGGCTCTGCCAGCAATCCAAGGAATTTTGAAATCTACATGACAAAAAAGGAGTAATGGGTATGATTCATATCACAGTCAAAATCATCATCTCTTAGCTTAAGCTAGAAAGAGTATAAACCAATAAATATGAGATTTGACTTACTTGGGGTGACTGAAATAGCAAATATAAGAGGTCCATATACACCATTACCATCATTAGAAATAGAGGTAGTTCCTTTTCCAGCCTAGTAAAAATGAATCTCCAAGGTGTTATCATTAACATCAACATTAAAGTTCCTGAAAATGCCCTTACCAATGCCACCAGCTTCTCTCATAATGTTGAAATCATGCAAATATTTTCTACCCTGTCAAGGTATCCATAAAATAGTTTTACCTTCCAGAACTTCTATTAACGTACAGAGCAAAAACAGTAGAAAGCATGTTAAATCATTAAGCAACTTGTAATATATTTTATACTGATTAAGAAAAATCTTAAACTGCATTAGTTCTTTATTAAAATAAAACAAATTTCCAATTTTACATCTATTTAATATAGATACCTTTCAAAAAATATAATTATCTACACTACAAATGAAGGATAAATAGTACATTTATATTAAAAATTTAATAAAGTGACTTATAAATAGGACAAAGAAAATTTTTCTCTCTCTGGCTTATAAATAGAACTAGATAAGTATATATGGTAAGAATTCATTTATGTGAGAGAGAGAGAGAGAGAGAGATATTAATGAAATTCACATAGTATTTAGGTCCTGTTTAGTATAAAGTATTAAAAATAAGGAATAAGGATTGTAATTGAGATTAAAAAATTATGTTAAGAGAGTATTTGATATGAGTGATTATTGTTACGTAGAATTAAACAAATTCATATATGTAGAATTGTGGAATACCATGGGGGAGAAGTGATATTCCTTATTCTCACCTACATGAGATTATCTAATTCCATATAATAAGAAATTACTCATATTAAATACTTTTTAATGGTATCTCTTAAATTCAATCCTAATTCTTACCCCTCATTTTTAATAATTCATACAAAACGGGACCTTAAGTCTTGCCATAGATAGGGCTAGTCTTTATAATTAGCCATTTAGCCACTATTTAAAGAGACACATAAACATAGTGGTAAGCTCACTTGATAGTGACACGTGCCACAATATTTATTTCTCTTCATCTATATGGCTGCATGGATGGAGAGTCTTATCTTCTCACCATTGAATTCTCTAATCACTGGAAAAAAAACATTTAAATTCAACATAGTGAGACTCACTTGGATTGAAACATCAAATATGCGCCTTCCAACATGATGGAAATTTTGGTCATAAGAAAACATAATCTCAGCAAAATGTAGCGTGACGTTGTAATTTCCATTAATCATACAGAGGCCATGGTACTTGAGAGACAAAGGGGAAAGCCGAGCTGTTCAGTAAAATTCAGGACCAGTAATGTTGAGGGGAAAACTACTTGCTGCTCTGCATCCTGTTGTGCTGCTATAAGCCCATTTATCATCACTACGGCAAGAGAATGTGATGCTCTCAGAATCGACGTCGCTTTCATATTTGTTCCCCTCATATTTAGTTTCTGGTCCTCCACAGTTTATGAAAAATGAATGATCTGCATGCGTAGGGACAACCTCATCAAAAAAAAAATCACCTCTATAAGAGAATCCAAATGATCAAATTCATAAGATCATGATCTCTCTCTATATATATATATATTGTCACATGACATTGATAGTCATTTCATTGCCACGTTCACTAAAATCTACATTACTTAGTTAAAACTCTTAAAAGGGTTCATAATGGGAAAATAAAATACAACTACAAAAAGATAATGTCATGCGAAACTCTCAAACAAGCAAGAAAACATTGATGTACAAAAGTTTAATCAAGCACTCACACTTGGGTTTTCCTCCGCAAGGAAGGCCCCTTTCTAGGCAAGTACATCTGTAAGATGAATAAAGATCACAACAAAAGCATTTAGAATAAGTTAAACAAGATAGTCGTAAGTATAATCTTACGAGGTTTTTGCTGAAGATGATAGACTCGAAGCCAAGTTTCTGTATAACCATTAAAAAAAAAAAGCTTAGAGTTACTGTGTGATGCTTTCAAGAACAAGAAAAATGTTGTTTTAGGGTGGAGGCGAGGAGCTTACAAATTTTCGTATTGACAAGTAGTCGCAGAAATCTTCGAAAAATTGTTGTAAGATAGATCACTACAATAGAAAGTAGTGTGAAATTACACATGAAAATTAAAAAAACTTTAGAAAATAAGGTAAAGTAATGGTCATACAACTTTGAGACATCTTGAATTATCAAGATGGTTTAATCAAAAGTAGTGTGTGTAGAATATTGTGCAGATTAAAATTTTAATATGGCATCTCAAGGAAAAAAAATTACTATAAAGTCCTAGTGATAAATGAACAATTATCATTTTTTATATTAAAACTTATCACGGCATGCTGCTCTATTATTACTGGGACTTATATTCCTTCTTTGAGATTTCAAAGTAATTCTCCTAAATTTTTTTATATGTCAAAGTTCAAATCAAGATGACATTATGGAAAGGGGAGAGATTTAAAGGCTAAAGATGTTTTTGTCAATAAAATTTACGGTAATTAATTTCAAATAGTAATGGCATTGAATTGATATATATAGTAATGAAAAATAAAAATAAAATAAAAAATATTTTACTAACAAAGAACCATAATTGTTTTGCTGTTGCAATATCCAATTAGGAATTTTTCCGGTCAGAGAATTTTCAGTTAGAATCCTGCACACGTAATTAATAAAGATCTATTAAAAAAGAGTAATTAGTTCCCAGAAAAAAATCAGGTTATATATGTGTGGAGAGAATATAATGCTCCCTTACATGTCACTTAGGGAGGTCAAGTTACTTATATTGCTTGGGATTTTATCGATCAGCTTGTTGAAGCTCAAATCTCTACGATTAATACACGGGGCCACAAATATTGCTTCATAAAAATAACTAAAAAAATAATATTTCTTGTAATAAATAGTCCACAATAAAAGTAAGTAGTCCTAAATTAGGAATTAGGTTGTAAATTAAACATTAAATTGGGAATATTATTTAGAGGATTTTGGATTCGCAGTATGAGGATGAAGCAACTTACAGGCAAGATAAGTTTTCCATTTTACCAATATAATTTGGAATGGAATCATAGATAGAGCAATTTCTCAACACCCTGAGAGAAAAACAAAGTATGAAAATTCATTGAGAATAATATATAGCTCATTTTCAACAAACAAATTTTCACCTCCCTATTAAATTGTCAACTTACAGGTGTTTCAAGGACGTCAAATTCTCCAGATTAGGGAATCTCATTATCACTGGTCCATGCAAATCAGATATTCTCCTGAATTAAAAATTAAATACAAAACAGTATCAACAATAGGAAAATATTCTCTGTTGAAATTAAATTTCATAACCATCAAATAGTGTGCCAATGAATTATAAATGACCAAGTACTCACAGATCATTCAGATTTGTTAAGTGAGATATGATTGTGGGAATGGGGCCTTCCAAGGCTGTGCCCCGCAAATACCTGCCCAAATGAAAACGCAGTGACAACGGTAATTTTGAAAGTAAAAGAAATACTTAAAAAGCCCACTCCACATGGTCTTTTTATTTGTTTGGATTGATTTTAATTGAAAATTTAAAATTATTGCATTATTTTATTTTATTTGTTTACTTACTTAGCTTGGACTAATATATATAATCATATCTCAGTTCAATTTTGTTCCTTATTTTCACTCCATGAACATCTCCCACAGATAATTTTTTTCCTCTCATCCACTGCTATTGAGAATTTAACTAGTTATTAACAATTGATTAGATTATACATTACGCAACCTCCCATCCTTTACTAATAAATCCAAATGATAAGTGATCAAGATAAATCTATCGTCATTTTTTACTAAACCTTATCACTACATGTTGCTTGATTGTTGTTGTTCAAATTTCTAGTTATTACATTTTTTATTGGTGTCCTATAATAATTCTCTCTTCTTTCTTTGTTTGCAACAATTTCCAACAAATTAAATAGACCATAATGGAATGGAGAAGTGAATAAAAATAAAAGCACTGAACTTCATTAAGCTTATTAATTTCGATACATTAAGTTCATAAAGTAGTATCCTATTTAAAAAGAGAACATTACGATAGAGGGTATATTAGACTCACATTTCTTGGAGTCCGGTCCAATTCCCAATAAAATTGGATAATTTTCCTGATATATTTGTCCCATCAAAATAACTACAAAAGTGTTAGGAGAGAAATTTTAGAATTTAAAAGGGATCAACGCAACATCAAAAATAAAATATAATGAAATGATTAAATCATATTATACCACTCACATAAATTCTAGTTTTTTCAGATTACCAAAACTTTCGGGCATTACCCCCCAGAAATTATTTCCAGAAAGATCCTTACAAGTTGCAAATCATTAGAAACAGATAACGCATCTAAAAGCAATATGAAAAATTATCTATAACAAGACTAATGTCGTAGTCACAATGCAACTAATTAATAAGATAAAAGAAAATTATTTGCACTTAAAATAATATTCTTACAATTTGCGTAGCTGCGTCAATTTTCTAAGACTAGAAGGAAGGGTTCCTTCCAATAGGTTATCTTTCAAATCTCTGTAGAAAATAGCAAAACCATAAAATTATTGCCCAATACCACAATAAGTTTTTAAAAACTCAAAGTGTAATGATTTATACTTACAAATACTCTAAAGTTGCAATGTTACCAATTTCGTTTGGAATTGGACCACTGATTGCATTAGCCGTAAGGGATCTAAGACGTGTTTAAGAGATGAATAATGCATATGGTCGAATAATTCAAGCTTGAATAATTATGAGACAAATCACTGGTTGAAAATAACTATACTACCTCCGATTCTTAATATAAGAACTAGTTAACTAATTTGAATAGATTAAGAAAACTAGTTAAATTAGTTATTTGTAATAAATAGGTATTGTGTTTCTCAAAATATCCTTACTAATCAAGTGTATTAGTTGGAACTACCATTAGTAAAATGACTACTTTGAAAAAAAGTGAATAAATGTGAGAGATAAAGTGGATTGAGGTCTTATATTTAAGACCAAAATAAAAGTCAAATGAAGTCTTATATTAAAAACGGGAGGTAGTATGTGTGTGTGTATTCATTAACAAATCTATGATCACTTACAATGAAACAAGACGGAGTCTAGCAAAGCTCCTTGGGATTGATCCGTTTAGATAATTGCTAGACAAATCACTGTGCTGTATATAAAAGTTACATTTTAGATCACAAATTCCCACATTTTAACTAAGCACATACACATATTTAAACCAATAATAGAATTAAAAAAAAATCATTACTTACAGCGTTTGCAGATAGGTAAGGGATCCAAATTCACTTGGTAAAAATCCAGATAAGTTGAGACTCCTGAAATAACTATTATAAAAAGAAAACACGTCAACACAACTAGTTACATAGAGCTAAAATAAAATAAGTTATCTTATAATTAGGACCAATTTGTTGGCAGAAAAAAAATAGCACCAATGTGCATTTGAATATTAATTTTATTGCGATGCAGAGCCAGACCTAACTTATTCTAAATACCATAGAAATGTATCTCAAAATCAAATCAACTGGTTTTAAATAAAGAAAGGAATACAAAAAGTAAGAAAGAAAACTTTTCAACATTATTTGGATCTCATTAAACACAACTTGATTTAGATGGGAGCTTGATTTGTACCCAAATTGAAAGGGTCACGTTATAACCATATAGACAGATGCACTTACAGCTCCGTAACATGACAAACTGTTTCATTTGAGAAACTGCAATTGCATGTTACATAAATTGCGTCACAAAAATGTCGGGTCACATTCCAATTCAAGTTCTCTATCTTCGATGATATTGTGTCTAGAACTTTCACTGCATCAAACACAATTCAGTTTTTTCAAAAAATAAAAGAAATAAAAAATTCAAAGTACTTGCCGTTGCCCACTTTGTTTAATTTCGACATGCATTGATATTGACATTGATGAACTTGGCCACCATATGGATCATGCAAAGCTGCTTCAAATTCAATTTAAGACGCTAATAATGGCTTAGCCTATAAACTTAAGTCGTAGTAAATGTCTAATTTGTTGTTTTTATTATTATATTGATTAAGAAATGTCTTCTTGTCCAGAACAGCATCAGTAATGCCCAAATATGAGTGCAGAAATCACGTTTCCCTAAGAAGCGCATCCGGAACTAAACATAAAAATATTTTTTAATAGGCTAAAATACACAAAAATTTCTGAACATTAGGCCGGTTTATGCATTATCTCTCTAACCTTTAAAAGTTTAAACTAAGAATCTTGATGTTTCATGTTTTGACTATCAACTTCCTTATCATTAAAATTAATTGTTTTTGTCTTGTCATATGTTTTATTTTTTTTTATTACATACCATTTCATTTTTAGAAAAAACACTTAGTATTTTACATGTAATGTTATATATTTAATACACTTAAAAATATATTTAAAACATTTATTTGACCATGTCTTTTGAAATAAAAAGGTAGAAAATCGTTAAAATACTTATCTCAAACGCCAAATATTATTTTTTAAATGAAATGATATATAATAAAAACTATAATGATACATCACAAAGTTAGGGAGGTGATGTGCAATTGGCCCAAAGTTAAAGGGTTTTTACATATTTTAGCCTATATAATATAAAATAATATGATTAATTATTTTATCATTTTTATAGCTGTGGTTTACAAGTTTTCAAATTATTAATTAAACCATAGCTTTTGTATTCTCTCTATAATGATACATCACAAAATATATAAAACTATTAAAAATAATTAGTAAAATTTTTCAGAACTTTTTTGGTTTATTTTATTTTAAAAAAGAAAGATTGATAAACGACTATTAACACACTTCATAAATTATAAATATGAGAACACTGCGCCGAATACAATATATAGTAATAGCATGAAAAATGAAAATGAATTGAGTGTTCTCGAAATTAAAGTAGATGAGTTTAAATTAAAGTAGATTGTTCATATTTATTTCAGTTTCATGGGTGTGAGGACTAAATTATTCAGAAATTATAACAATCATATAAATTAAGCCAATAAGATATTTTGTATTAATACGTAACAAGTAATTGATAAAACATGATTTTCTATCATATTCTGTGCATGCAAAAAAGCTTACTAAGCTTTATTCATCTATCCTGGTTGACAAGAAAATTTTAGATATAATTTATATCTGTGTATAATATAGAAATTTTAATAAATCGCATTCCTTATACGAAAAAAAAATATTATTATTGATTACTTAGCTCTTTGAATTCAATATTAGCATAAAATTAAAGCAGTGGCAAATAAATGAATACAATAAATTACTATAGTTTTCAACCATTGGAATCTTGCTTGGTAAAAAAAAAAAAAAAAAACCATTGGAATCTTGTTGGTAAAGGGGGGCAGAGAGATAAAGAAATAAAAAAAACATTTGAATCAGTTTACTTAGTTCCCTTATTGGAGGGGAAAAAAAATGAAGGATCAAGGTTTGAAAGTCACAACAGTTTTTTTATCACTGTTTGTTCAAGAAGAGGAAAGGGTCAACCACCACGTTGACCCATTTCTTTTGTGTATTTTTCTTTGAACAGCAAGAAAACAGATGGAAATGGAAAAATTGATCATAATACTAAATAGAGTAATATAGTATATACTAAACAGTAAGAAAAACAGAAAGGCATTAATTAAGAAACCTTCATCTTCTGGTATAAGTTGAACATTGGAGCCATAGTTCGTGAAAACTGTCGAAGCAAAGCATCCAAAAACAAAAAGATATAAAAGTTTAGAGATTGAGATCCCAAACTCCATTTTGGTTGTCGCAGTTTGCAGAAAATAACTTTGCAAGGGGGCGAAGGAAGAAGAAGGAGGAAGAAGCAATTTGTAGAATCACACAGTAGCAAAGCGCAAGAGATGACAGAAGAAGCTAAGGATGATGCAGCAGAAATAGAGGCAAGAAGAAGAGAAAAGCAAGTCAAAATTTCTACAAGTCGTCTTCTTTTTTGTAAATTAATAAAAGGCGTTTCTCTTGTCTCAAGAAAAGATAATAAAGCTGTTGGTTTTTACAGGATGTGGACCCCGGCGGATGTACCATAATGAGTGGTCAGTCTCTGCCCCATCCTCTTTAAGCGTGTTTTTAGCTCATGACTTGACAAAAGGAAGGGAATCCAAAGGTAGTGCACGTGCTTCAAGGCTCCAAGGGAAGGTCTTGGCTGACGTGGTCCGTGTTTCTGGTTGGGTTCTAATTGTTTTTGTCTTGTTTGTATTTTTTATTTCTAGTATTTTGTGTGTTAGGTTGTATCTTAGGTTTTTTGAGCGTTTATTTTGGCCTTTTTGTACTTTTTTTATATTAATAAAATTGTTTGTTTTGGCAAAAAAATAAAAATAAAAATAAAAGGCACTAAAAAGCTACAAGCTGTTTCATAGGTAATGTGATTTTATTAATATACACCAAAATATTACATACACACATATTTAAAGTGGCATTATTTACATGTCTCTTTAAGAAGTAATTTTATTTTAACCAAGATGATATCATATTGGTATAAGAATGAATATTTAGAAGCAGTTTCTTATGAGATAGAGTGTGATGACTTTGAAGTCTACTGCCAAGTCAAGCACGCCATTCATATGTGTCTACAAATGGAAGATAGGAAGATGTAATACATCCAATCAAATTAAGACTAGGATTTTTCGAGTTACTCTCTCAAATTAGACTAAATCAATGAAAATGAAAATATGGTCCAAAAAGAAAAATTACATTTCATAAAGTGACAAAGAATCTTTCTCATCACTAATGCATATTTTTGGTTACTTTGTAAGCTATAAAATGTAGTGATAATAAAAATATGATCCTTAGTTAATAACATACTATTTGTAAAGTCAAAATTTCTCCTCATCACTAATGTAATTTTCTTTCTCTTTTGTTGCATCAACTTCTTTTTTAGGACAACTTAGTGTTTTAAAACTCAACCATTAGTATTGTATACTAGTAATATTTTTTAAACTAACATATTAATTATTTGCTATACTCGCAAATTTTTTATCAAATGATAATTTCCTATCAAAATAAGACTAATGCAATGAAAATGAAAAGGTATGTGGTCCAATAATCGAAATTACATTT